TACTTGGAAATTGTTGTGTTTTTAAATCTTCAAAAGATTGTTATGGTTGCTTGAGAGGATTCCATCGCGGTGTATGCACACACTTCGCATGCAGGCAAGTGTATATGGTCCTGTAAGTGAATCTGTCAGTACAATTTCTGCGATCTGATATTAGTTTCTGAAGAATGGACTTGTTAAAAAAAAACTATGGCAAGTGAGCATGCGACAGTGCTTACCACCAACCACAACACCATGCAAGTGACCAAGCGACGTAAGTACAGAACCGTATCACTTCATATTTCTGAGGTGTCCAAACTACATTATCGTTGTCATACCATGTATGCAACTGTTTCGGGCAGTTACATGACGTAAAACAAACTTCATCTTTCGGGGTTTGGGGGGGGGTCGTGTATAGCAGCTGTCCCCTTTCGGAGTACATTGCAGTTACCATCTTCAGAGTGCACTGTATGCCGACACGTCGAACAGCTTCGACACACGAACCTAAATCTCGGAAGCTCACATATCAGACCGGTAAAATCTGAATAATACCTAGAGTATATTTGAGCATTTAATGAAAGTCTTCTGATGTGACGCTGTGTGGTCTGGTACAAGTTTACTAAGGATTCGGTGGGGCGTGCTGCCCCCCCCCCATATTCAGTATAGAGGAATAAGCCTTCATACCGTGGTACTTCTCTCCACGCTCGGAATATTTTACCCTGAAGATGGAGGCAGCATATGCCTTCGAAACATCGGTAAACGTCTACCAGACTATACACGGCGTCACATCCCAGAAGACATATCTGGCCAAAAAATTTGCCATTAAAACTGATTAATCAGGCATGGATGGGCGCCTGTACATTTACAATACGGTTCTGCGTTTACAGAGTGAGACAGTGGCCGGCCATGTTGAACAGCAAAAACATGCAGCAGGAAGGATGAAAGACCCGTAAAGGAAGAGAGAAACATGAGGGTGCGGCGATCAGATTCCACCAGGGTGCGCTCCAACTGTGTACTCTTGCTACCAGTCCACCGAAACGATCCAATGAAAAGTGTGAACACGAGGAATGTTGTGATGTGACTGAGGGTCGGAGGGGGTTCACACTGCCCTTAATTCGCTCTACACGGCCGAAGAATGAAATACGACTATACAATGTGCCTTATACTGAAAACTACCGCGCGTACTCAATAATTTTGAAACTGAAAGATTTGCAGGAATTCCATTTGGCGTCTCATAACGCGGTATACTATGCACCAACGGGTGGACCTTGAACTGTTCTGTTAGGCAGATCCGGCGTATATAGGTGAATTATAGGAGTCACCCGAAACTCGTGCTACGTTTTCTGCTTGCACGGCTGACACAAGGCGGCCACGGTTAATTATCTTGCCTTTTCTTCTTTGGAGAAGACGTAGTAGCAAGAGTACAACTCTGCCTTGCTCTAAATGGTGCACATGCATACATTAATCAACCCACAAAAAGATGTGTTTAGTTTCATACGGAGGACTCATTTATCCCTGGTTGATTTCATGCTTTTACTGATACGTAATATAAATGCGAAACAAGCAGAAATAGCCAACTAATTACAAAGAAAAATATACTTAACCTAATTGCTTCTCAACGGTCTACTCTTTTTTCTTTTCTCTTGGCAGGTAAAATTAGACAAGTTCTCTTCTCTAACTTCTATTATAAAAAAAAATGAGACCCATAACCCCCCCATTTCCATTAACTTTTTGTTTTAATATTTATTTTGATGCAATCAGTCTTAAGTTGAGTCAAGTAGGCCTAACCTGTGCCCCAAGCTTCAAAATGGTTGAACTGCAGAGAAAAACTTCATAACAATAATCAGCAAATATTACAACTACTATATTCAGCAATGGATGTTTCTCTTGGCCAGCCTCCCACATGCCCATCCAAACGGCTGTAATGGGACGACAGGGTTCGGTCAGGAGAAGAGATCATCAGCCAAATTCAGAACCTTCATCCTTCTACCAATCAGCAGCAACATTACTCATATACGGTGAACTACACAGTGCAAGCAGACCACTACAGAAGCGTCTAGACAGTGTTTTAAGATAAAAAAGCTAGTATAGTTCATCCTAGACCTAGATGCAATACAAACGAGGACAAAGATCCCAAACTCACTGACGCGTGCAGCTAGATCTTGGATAAACATTTGGACAAACTACAAGGTAGCATTAGTAACTGCACTGAGATATGTTGCCGGCGAAAGATTTACACATCTTACTTCAATACCAAACAACTACAATTTACAAATATCAACTTTACAAACTTCCTTATACTTTACTTGTTTTCTTTTTGGTTCCTCATCTCCAGTATACAAAATATTGGATCAATACTTGAGTAAACAACAGTTAAAAATTGTCACGATGCTAAGGAGATTATCAGTAAAAGTCGAGGGGCTGTATTTCAGCAAAATCTTGGGAAGGGAAGGCGAGTTATGTCAACAGACCTGCGCCTAGTAGTGTCTCAAATATGCACAGCGTCAACAAAAAAATGTAGCAACGAAAGGAAAGAGGATGACCCCTCTACTCATGAGAGGAGCCCCAGAGATCTTCAGTTTTTTGACCCCTTCTTCACACGCCCATAATAACAAATACACTTCTACTTAATACTAAAGCACATACCTCTACTATAATCCACTGCTTTTTTGCAACATGGTCAGATCAAAGGGAACATAAAACAAGAATTGAGATTATTAACAAGCAAGCACTAGAAAAAAACAAAAAGAGAACCTTAAACAATATTCGTCAGAAATTGGTAAACAACTTTTATGCATACAAAAGCTGCCTACGAACTAAAAGGAAAACTCATATAACGGATATGATATTACATAATAAAAACTGTTATAATATTAATAACATGTGCCACAAAAATTTTAACGTTTCTGGTTTGGACGAAAACCTTGTAGCAATATTGGATTGTGCACTTAAATTTATCTAACAGGCAAACTGTGGTGAGGATTTCTATTACCTCACTCGAGACGACTAGGACAGCTAAACGTTCACTTGTCTTTACTAATTCACCCCACTATACACATACAGGATGGGCACACTTTCAACTTATCTACAACATCAACTGCCACCTCACCAATAATTTCACCTCCCTGTGCCGCTTTATTTTTGTACCAAAAATTTTCCATCAATAATAAAAGACAACAACAAAAACAGCTCCATTAATCCATCAGTCTGAAGCATATTAGGTCATCCCCTGATTAGGAATTTCACTTTTTTTTTTACACTTTTCAGTGAGAGTTCAAACACCAAGGCATAACATGACTTGGTAACCTTGTAGTTTACATTTTTTTTGGAAACACTTCTGTTGGCAGCACAAACTCTAAACGGGATATGATCCCACAGACATGAGACCTGCACGTTTGTACTTGCGGCTAAGTAGTCAAACAACATAATAAAAACATTTTCAACTTCATATAAAATTACTATAATCTTTTTATTTTTCCAGTGTCTCCTATACAAATAAAAGTGTTTCCCTCCATGTCTCAGCAGGCCAACTCCCTTTCAGCAGAAAACAAACGCTTCCTTTGTGTAGGAATGGCATTCGACCGACCTCATAGGCCTTCTTCATATCCTGTCTCCTTCAAGAAGATAGGCGGTCGTAGGCTTATGATCACTCCCGGTTATTGAGCACACCTTCTTCCCTTACAACCCGCTATCAATTGTCTCTACTCATCAAAATCACCATATTGCTTACTCACCTAGCACAATAAAAGAAAACTTAATACTAGACCATCGAAGAATATTCGTTACTTCGGTCCCCTTTTTCTCTTTTTGCGCAGACAAATAATTGTGTTAACGAGAGGACATTCCTGTTGTTAAGTACGAGCAGTTAAGTACCCATGAAACACCTCAGGATTGTGTAGCAGCACAAAACAGTTGTTTTAGGAAGGTATCGCCCCAACTGCAGTTGCCGTGTGATTGGATTGACACGTCATCATGCATATTCACATCGATACACCCTCCCTCACTGCAAGCACCACTAAGCATCCCCTCTACCCTGCAATCATCCATCAAAAGGGCCAATAATAACACCACTTGGGGGGTAACACGCATGCAGAAACACACATACAAAGCACACTACATATTGTACAGCCTGGCTACATCTTGGCCTGTCCTTCTTACAGATTACAGAGAGAAAAACAGAAGACCACAACTTCTTCACGGTTAAACATGGTCTTACTATTATTTCCTGTGTTTATATTAATTGTTTCTTAACATTATTAAATACAGTACACAACAATACAACATGACAATATTATTCAAGCCCGATGAATTCCATAAAAATACAATTATTGGCAGAGACTTTTAAAACATCAGAAACATTAGTGAGCTCGTATGTTCTTGTATAGGCCCACAGAAAAATACAATGTTCATATACAATTTATATACATTATTACATTTATGTGATGTGGAAAATTGGTACTGGGGGGGGGGGGGA